ATTGCCCAACCTTCCTTCTGAGGAGTGGCTGGTGGGTTTGAACCGCCAGCCTTCTGGTTAGCAGTCAAGTGCCTTAGCCACTATGCTACCAGAGCTCCAAGTTTGTTTTAAGAGTTATTTATTCCTTTTATTAGGCCAGTAGCAGTGTCAGCACAAGTCAGGGCAAAACAGTAATTGTCAGATAGAGGGAGGTCCCATGTAGTCGATTTGCCATCTTTGGGTATGCAACACTGCACAAGGAATGTGGCCCACCTTTCATGGAACCAGCCTTTTTCTTTCTAAAGCACAGGGGTGCAAGCTTTTTTAATTTGGGACATGGCGACAAGTATGCCTAATAGTTTAACTCTCTACCTAGCCTGTGGTTGCCTCCTGCCTGTCTTCTTTGTGTTCAGTTCCAGCCTCTACCTTGTTCCCATCCCCTACACGCAGCTTCCGCTTTTCCCCTTTGTTTCAGTTCCCACTTCTCTCTTGTCCCTGCCTCCCTGTGCATTTAGTTTCCGCCTCTGCACTCAGCTCCCTCCCCGTCTTTGCAAAGGTGGCACTTACAGACTTGTTAAGGATTGGCTCTTTTGAAATAGGCACTCTGCCTGCTACATTAAACACTACTTAAGCACCCTGCAGTGACAGGATCAGGGCTGATGCTATTTTAAGCTTCAGCCCATCTGCCAGACAGATGATTCAATAAAACTTATTTTTTTAAACAATTCATTCTGGCCTGGTTCCTCTCAGCATCAGATAACATTGGCGCCGAAACCAGGGAACCACTAAGGGTAACCTGGGGGAGGATCTCTCCCTCCCACTGCTGACCCTGCATCCCCCACCAGCCAATTCATCTCTGGTAAGTGACATTTTCTCTTTCTCACATGGATTTCTGATTTACTGATTTCTCTTATAAACTAGTGCTCGGCCAGAAATCCTCTGGCTTCGGCCCCCAGTCTTCTGCCCTCCGACACCTCCTCTGTGCCAGGGACACCTGGATAGGGATTATTTCACTCTCCTCTCTGGCATCAGACCAAATGATAGGGACACCTTTCCTTTGGTCCTAAGACCTCCGGAATTTAGAGTGTCATTTATCCTCTCTCTCTCTCATTTTCATGGGTAATTCTCAGATAATTCCCTCTAAGTCTACACCTTTAGGGTGTCTTCTGAGGAATCTCTCTCAACTTCCCTCTCTTCCAATGAGGCCCAAGCATCTCATTTTTTTTTTCTGTAATACTACTTGGCCCCAATATAAATTAGACAGTGACTTTTGGTGGCCTGAAAATGGCACTTTTGACTTAAATGTTCTCCATGCCTCAGACAATTTTTGTCAATGCAATGGGAAATGGTTAGAGACACTTGTGTCCAGGCTTTCTTTACCCTCTAGAACAGACCTTCTTTCTGTCAGTCCTGTTCCACCTATCAAATCTTGCTTCACTCCAAACCCTCTTTCACTGGTCTTATTCTCTCCCACTTAGAACCACTGGAATCTGAGACTCCTTTAGACCCAGCTGACCATTCTTCCATATGTCTCTCCCACTTTACCTCTGGACTATGTTCCTTCTTCCTCTTTCTCCCGCACCCCAAACTCACTCTCGAACCCCCCAGCCCACAGCTCCCATTCTCCCACTCCGGGAAGTGTCTGGGGTCAAAAGCATTACCAGAGTCCATATTCACTTCTCCGTGTCTTCCCTGACCCAAATTGAAAAGTGCTTCGGTTCCTTTTCAACTAACCCCACCACCTAGACCAAAGAATTTTGATATATCAGCCAGTCTTACAGTCTCACCTGGCATGATATTTATGTCATTTTAACCTCTTCCCACACCCCAGAAGACAAGGAATGCATCTGGCAAGCAGCTCAGGCTCATGTAGATGAACTCCATAGACAACACACAGCTTACCCCTTAGGGTCTGTAACTGTCCCTCGAACCAACCCAGATTGGGGCTATCAGATAGATTCCCCAGGCAGAGAATACCGTGGCCATATGCTCACCTGCCTCATTGCTGGACTAAGAAAGACGGCTCATAAGGCAATCCATTATGAGAAACTTAAAGAGATTACCCAAGGCCCTGAGGAAAACCCACCCTCTTTCTCACCTGCCTCACAAAAACATTACAGAAATATATCACTCTTGATCAGCCTCCCTGGAGGGAATAATTCTTCTCAACATGCATTTTATTTCCCAATCAATCAGTTCCAGACATAAGGTGTAAACTGCAGAAGCAGGACACAGGCCTTCAACCCCCTCAAAAGGACCTCTTATCTTTGCCTTTACAGTCTTTAATAATATAGATGAGGAATTAAGACTAGAAAAACAGAAACAAGGTCAGGCTAAGACCCAGCTCCTAGCCACCTGAGCCCTTGGTCACTTTAAATACCCAAAATGCCTGCCGCGTCTAAACAATCAAAATGTCTGTACCCTCTGGACAGCAGAAAGTCAACAGCTCAGGTTGTCTCCTTCCTTGCTGTTTCCCTTCCCAGTCATAGGCCACTAGAGCAGTCATCCCTACAGCCCTTGGTAGCCAGGGCTGATCTTTAGGTCAATTCTCAGGTCCCAGTACTGCCTGGAAATATTCAGGCTATTGGTCCCGTCAGAGTAGCTGACAGTCCGCAGCTCTGACCGTCTCTGTACTCACTGTTTTCCTTCAGGTTTTTCCACTAGTTGGTGCCTAATTCACTTCTGTATAGCTCCTTTCAAAGCTCAGGGCTCCATGATTATCTTCTGTACCTCTGTCAATTGGTTTTTCTTTTCTTTGTTGAAGAGGGTCTGTGTCGCTTGTCTGCCTATTCCTCCATCTTACCAGAAGTCCCAAGAACTATATATTTTTTTGAAAATGCAACCTTTATTAATGGGAAACAAGTTGAACCCTAACATAATTCAACAGGCCCACTCCCACCACTAACTGCTGCCACCCTCAGTGGCACCCTCTCCACTTGGGAAAACAAAACCAATAAATTACATCTCTTCTCCAAATATATTGTTTTCTGTTATAAAAGGTAGGGCTATTTTTCCTATGTGGAACTAACACATATCTCTGTCTTCCCATAAACTGGACTGGACTGTGTACATTGATCTATTTAGTCCCTGAAATAGAAATTGCACCTAACAACCAAGCTTTACCAGTTCCCCTTTCTGAATACCAGATCCAAACATGGCCTTACTGTGATTCCCCTTCTTGTAACTTTAAGTGTGACAGGAGTAGTGAGCACAGGCATTGGGGACCTAACTACCTCCTGCCATATTACCAAAGCCTGTGTAAAGACCTAGCAGACAGCCTAGACGAAATTGCCCAAAGCACAATTATGGTTCAGGACCAAATAGACTCTCTAAAAAAAAAAAAAAAAAAAAACCTCACTGCTGTCAAGTCAGATCCGAGAAAAAAACCTCACTGCTGTCAAGTCAGATCCGAGTCTTAGTGACCTCTCCTTGAGTTTCTGAGGCAGTATCACTATGGAAGTAGATTGTGCGGGCTTCCTTTTGAGGAGTGGCTGGTGGGTTTGAACTGCCAACCTTATGGTTAGCGGTCAAATGCCTTAGGCACTACACCACCAGAGCTCCTAATAGACTCTCTAGCAGTTGTTATTTTACAGAACAGATAATATTTAGACCTACTTCCAGCTGAAAGAGGAGGACTATATCTATTCCTGGAAGAAGAATGCTGTTTTTATGCCAATCAGTCAGGAATAGTAAGGGACACAGCAAAGAAATTAACTGATCAAGCCTCCAGAATCCGACAGGAATATCCAAATCTTGGGGCTCATGGTTACAAAAATCAAACTGGATGGCTTGGCTCCTTCCCTTAGTGGGACCCTTAATAATAATCCTTACCTTTCTTTGTGGACCTTACATACT